GAGGTGAACGAGCTGCGGGAGCTGAAGCGGCTGCACCCGGAGCTGCCCGTCTTGTTCATCCGCGTGCCGCTGCTGCCCGAGACGTTCAGCGACGACCTCCCCGAGTCGGAACAGCACGACATCCTGTGCAAGCTGCGCGTGCTGCCCTCCCCGGTGCGCCCCGACCAGATTCCTCAGCAGCAGCAGCAACAACAGCAACAGCAGCAGCAACAGACGCCCATTATACCCACGGGAGCCGCGCGGATCCAGCAGCAGGTCCCCGTCAAGCTTTTTCGCACGCTCTGCGATAACCTCGGTTGGTGGCACAGACTTCCTCTTCCTCCTTTTATTCGTATTCCTATTAATATCATTATTAATTGCAATAGTAGCAGTAGTATCGGCAGCCGGAGTAATAGTGTTAAGAGTAATGGTAGTAGTGTTAGTATTATTGTTGTTATTAATAGCCCTTTTGGAAGCCCGACACTTTTTTTTTTGCTCGTTGTTTCCGGCGTGTTCGGACAAAGTGAAGGGTTGTTCGGACGCGTTTCATTGGATTCATCTAATAAAACATGCCTCTTAATGCAAATTTAACCCACTCGCCCCGGATTTATATTCTGTCCCCATGTAGTTTTTTTTGTGAATTTTGTTACATACAGGTGGCTCTACAGGTGCTCAGCCGGCAAGGAATCTATCAGTAGGCCCTAGTTACCGACCCTGATTTTCCCATTCATTGAATTGGCGGGAAAATTAATACCATTGCTATTGATACTGTTATTATTGTCATTGATGTTATGATTATTAAATTGTCATTTAAATATTTTAGACAATTAAATGATACAAAAAAAACTTTCCTAAAGTGAAGGAAAAGGGTAAACGGGTGAGATAGGTAGTCCTGAAAAACTGGCTATTTGGTGATTAAGAACTTGTTGAGCCATCTGTGTGTAAATACAATAAATAAACGTGTATTATAATGGGCATGGCATGCATTCTTGCCACATGGGGCGAATGGGTGAAGTTGTAACATTAACACAATATTTTAGTAGTATTATAAATTTGAGAAGAAATATAATACCAGCTCGCACTTCATTTTTTTTCTTCTTTCTTTCTCATTTTAATATTTTCCAAAATGAAAATTAAATATGACTGAATATGTAATCTATGGAAAATATGGAAACATATGTTGTTCGTTGCAAATAGTCCATCAAATATATATTTTACATTATGTTCTATTGAAAATCTAAAAGCATATTTTGAAAATCACCTTCATTATGTTCAAATAATTTTAGATGAAATACAAAAGTTGTTAGTATGAGAGGGAGAGAGAAAACGGCAACGACGGGCAGGCACAGAGAACGAAAGAAGGAATTGATAGAGATAGAGATACACACATGTTAGCGCGCCAAACTGCGGTTGATTACGAAGGTCATCGAATCAATAGTGAATTGAGAGAGGTCTATACCCTGCAGTGGAATAAATGGCTGTTGCAAAAAATATAAATATGTGTGTGTGTGTGCGCGCGTGCGTGCGTGTGTGTGTTGCCCGGACATTAGCGTTTTTTTCTCTCTCCATTTTTCTGCGCAGTTTCCTTGGCAAATATCACACATTCGTTACATGAGTCGTTATTTTAATTGGGAAATCCAGTTAAATTATCATATGCAACTGCACAAGACAACCTGTCAATATTGATGTTGATAACCGCAGAAGTTTTTTTGTTTTTTCTTAAGAAGGGCCATTTTGTCCAAACACATTTGGCTGTTTCTCCTGTCAGGGTAACACTCAAAGATACCGTTCTTTCAGTCTCCTCCTTGTCGGTGTAACTTCTGAAGCCTTTCATGCAGTTATGTATACTTTTCCCTCCTCCGTCTCTCATACTCTTTCTTTCCCTCTTAGATTACCTAACAAAGGCATATTATATTGTATTTGTTCATCCACCCTTTTCAAGTTACATACATCTTTTCCTTTCCACAGTCATTTTTTTTCAATGTTTTTTTTTTCTGTCTTTTCCTCATGCAGGTTACCTCACAATGACACCGGCGCCCAAGAAATTCCGGTGTCGACTGGTGGAGCATAGTTACCGAGTCGACAGCGAACTAATCGACAGTTTTGACTCGTTCCCCAACGTTGTTCCGTACATAAGGATGATTTTGCAGTCTCATCTCATCCACACGTCGACGCTTTTGAACCAGGTGAGCGACCCGCCCCTGCCCTTCCTTCGGGCGCTCTATAGTCTTCCAGCAACAGTAACTGCGTAGTTGCTATTGTCGTTGTTGTTCGATTTCTGTTAGTATTCATAATGATATATGTGTATGTTTGATTCATCTTACATCTACGGGAGAAAGATGAGAGGGTAGGATAATCCTAAAACAACTTTTTTATTTCCATTTTCACTTCTTTTTTTTCGATTTCTTCTATTACTTTTTCCTTCGCTTCCGTCTTCTAACGCACGAGCCGTCCCTTCAACCCCCAGGGCCATAACCGGTGCATGAGAAAGTTCATCCTGTACGCGTTCGACATGGCGCGCGAAATCCAGATCACGCCGAGGAGGATCAGCTACGCGAGGGAGAAGGAAGCCGAGCTCTACGAGAACCTCATGGCCATCGCGTCGAGCAAGCAGGACGAGATCCGCAGCGTTATCATCGACACCATCGCCAACATGTCCGAGGATCTGCTGGAAAGGGCAGCCGACTACGAGTTTCAAGGTGAGTGCGCGAAGCTTCGTGCGTGCGGATGGCGGGAATTAAAAAAAAAAAAAAAAAAGGATATATATGTATATATATGTATTTATTTATTTATTTATTTATTTATTTATTTATTTATTTATAATTACTTGTTTATAATATAATATTTATTATTTGATGTTATATAATATTTGTAATTAAGAATATAAATTTATTGCTATGCCTATGTCTTTCCTGAGAATGTTCCCAGAGTTGTTTTTGCAGGATTTACTAGTATTTGATAAGTACTTTTTATATACAGTGTTTTGTGAAATTAAGCAAATTATATAATAGCCAAACGCTTTAATCACTTTTTGTCAATCGTGTGATGTTCAGATTAACTTGCGGGGAATTATTAAAAATGCCTGTTCGAATTTTGCATGATAAAAATTATCTGCCTTTCCTTTTTTCATTCATTATTATTATTATGATAATAATAATAATAATAATAATAATAATAACAATAATAATAATGATAAGAAGGAGGAAGAGAATTGCTTTTGTTATTATTATTATTATTATTATTATTACTATTATTATTATTGTTATTATTATTGTTGTTGTTATTGTTATTGTTATATATCTTTCATCTCCCCCATTAGACGTGGAGAACTTGCCGACGAGCGAAGTGGTGTGCGCCAGACAGGTGCGAATCTGCACGGGCGAAATCCAGGAGTTGGTGATCGGGTCCCTGAACGCAGAGGTCGGGAGGCAGCTGGTGGATCGCGTGGACGTGATGCGCGAGTCGTACTTGGGCACCCTGCAGCGGTGTCTGGAGAGCCTGGAGAAGGACTGCCGAGCCTGCGGGGAAGATCCTCATATTGGGGACGCGCTCAAGCAGGTGCGGAAGTGGGATAGGAAAAGGAGGAAGATGGGGTTGAGTTTGCACAAAGGGGAAGGCCCTGTGTGATTGAGGGATGGTGATGTTAAGTCTTTACCTTGCCTTTCCTTCGTTTTTTATAATAATAATAATAATAATAATAATAAAACATACATCATCCTCATCATTTTTCCCTAGATGGTTAATGCAGCCTACCAAGTGGAGGTGACTGTGACCACCTCTTCCTCTGTTTTGCGTTCTTTGTGGGAGAAAATGAAGCAGTTGGTGGCCGCCATGCCCGGGAGAACCCCACCGATTATAGATGCAGAATGGAAGAGAAAGGTTGCAGCTGATATGATTGCCAGTCTTTCAGAAACAAAGCTGACAAAGAGTATATGTGCACAGGTGAGTTTTTTTTCTTTTCTTTTCTTTTCTTTTTTCTTTCTTTTTTTTATTGCCTGGAAAACTTCTTGATTCTTTGTTATTAGTGGGAAAGTTGTTCCCCATAATTGAATTTAGGTAATCTACCTGTAAATTGTGAAATTAAGTATGAAAGTATCTGTATGTGCTGACTCAAAGAATTGGTAAGATTCATTTGTAGTATCCATCAAAAATATATCAATCAGAATTACTGATACCTTTCATAATCCTGATTTCTTCAAATATTTCTCAATAATAACATAAATGAAAACCATCACCAGTGCCCCTTCACAATCTCTCGTTGCAGTTTCGCGAGAGATTAAAAAGCAGCCATGATTCCTTCCTCGGGAGCCTCAAACAGTTGGAGACTCAGCTCACCAGCCGCCTGGAAAAAACAGAAGAACAGCAGACTCGTATAAAGAAAATTGATGCTCCCAAGCTCGCTCGTCTCTCGCTTGAGTCCACGTCTCTCAGGGATATGATTCTCTTTGGTCAGTTTTTAAGACTGAAACAAGGTCTCCTTTTGAAGAACATCATAGATCAATGTTTGCCATATTTAGCAGCTTGTGAAACACACTACATTTAGCTGCAAAATGTAGTCCACCAAACACAGATAAACAGTTTGTGTAACTAATAATAATAATAATAATAATAATAATAATAATAATAATAATAATAATAATAATAATAATAATAATAATAATAATAATAATAATAATAATAATAATAATAATAATAATAATAATAATAATAATAATAATAATAATAATAATAATAATAATAATAATAATAATAATAATAATAATAATAATAATAATAATAATAATAATAATAATAATAATAATAATAATAATAATAATAATAATAATAATAATAATAATAATAATAATAATAATAATAATAATAATAATAATAATAATAATAATAATAATAATAATAATAATAATAATAATAATAATAATAATAATAATAATAATAATAATAATAATAATAATAATAATAATAATAATAATAATAATAATAATAATAATAATAATAATAATAATAATAATAATAATAATAATAATAATAATAATAATAATAATAATAATAATAATAATAATAATAATAATAATAATAATAATAATAATAATAATAATAATAATAATAATAATAATAATAATAATAATAATAATAATAATAATAATAATAATAATAATAATAATAATAATAATAATAATAATAATAATAATAATAATAATAATAATAATAATAATAATAATAATAATAATAATAATAATAATAATAATAATAATAATAATAATAATAATAATAATAATAATAATAATAATAATAATAATAATAATAATAATAATAATAATAATAATAATAATAATAATAATAATAATAATAATAATAATAATAATAATAATAATAATAATAATAATAATAATAATAATAATAATAATAATAATAATAATAATAATAATAATAATAATAATAATAATAATAATAATAATAATAATAATAATAATAATAATAATAATAATAATAATAATAATAATAATAATAATAATAATAATAATAATAATAATAATAATAATAATAATAATAATAATAATAATAATAATAATAATAATAATAATAATAATAATAATAATAATAATAATAATAATAATAATAATAATAATAATAATAATAATAATAATAATAATAATAATAATAATAATAATAATAATAATAATAATAATAATAATAATAATAATAATAATAATAATAATAATAATAATAATAATAATAATAATAATAATAATAATAATAATAATAATAATAATAATAATAATAATAATAATAATAATAATAATAATAATAATAATAATAATAATAATAATAATAATAATAATAATAATAATAATAATAATAATAATAATAATAATAATAATAATAATAATAATAATAATAATAATAATAATAATAATAATAATAATAATAATAATAATAATAATAATAATAATAATAATAATAATAATAATAATAATAATAATAATAATAATAATAATAATAATAATAATAATAATAATAATAATAATAATAATAATAATAATAATAATAATAATAATAATAATAATAATAATAATAATAATAATAATAATAATAATAATAATAATAATAATAATAATAATAATAATAATAATAATAATAATAATAATAATAATAATAATAATAATAATAATAATAATAATAATAATAATAATAATAATAATAATAATAATAATAATAATAATAATAATAATAATAATAATAATAATAATAATAATAATAATAATAATAATAATAATAATAATAATAATAATAATAATAATAATAATAATAATAATAATAATAATAATAATAATAATAATAATAATAATAATAATAATAATAATAATAATAATAATAATAATAATAATAATAATAATAATAATAATAATAATAATAATAATAATAATAATAATAATAATAATAATAATAATAATAATAATAATAATAATAATAATAATAATAATAATAATAATAATAATAATAATAATAATAATAATAATAATAATAATAATAATAATAATAATAATAATAATAATAATAATAATAATAATAATAATAATAATAATAATAATAATAATAATAATAATAATAATAATAATAATAATAATAATAATAATAATAATAATAATAATAATAATAATAATAATAATAATAATAATAATAATAATAATAATAATAATAATAATAATAATAATAATAATAATAATAATAATAATAATAATAATAATAATAATAATAATAATAATAATAATAATAATAATAATAATAATAATAATAATAATAATAATAATAATAATAATAATAATAATAATAATAATAATAATAATAATAATAATAATAATAATAATAATAATAATAATAATAATAATAATAATAATAATAATAATAATAATAATAATAATAATAATAATAATAATAATAATAATAATAATAATAATAATAATAATAATAATAATAATAATAATAATAATAATAATAATAATAATAATAATAATAATAATAATAATAATAATAATAATAATAATAATAATAATAATAATAATAATAATAATAATAATAATAATAATAATAATAATAATAATAATAATAATAATAATAATAATAATAATAATAATAATAATAATAATAATAATAATAATAATAATAATAATAATAATAATAATAATAATAATAATAATAATAATAATAATAATAATAATAATAATAATAATAATAATAATAATAATAATAATAATAATAATAATAATAATAATAATAATAATAATAATAATAATAATAATAATAATAATAATAATAATAATAATAATAATAATAATAATAATAATAATAATAATAATAATAATAATAATAATAATAATAATAATAATAATAATAATAATAATAATAATAATAATAATAATAATAATAATAATAATAATAATAATAATAATAATAATAATAATAATAATAATAATAATAATAATAATAATAATAATAATAATAACCTGCGAGGAAGTGTGATTGACCACACTTATGGCCAGGGGGAAACTCCAGCTGTCCTATTGATAATGGACAGGCTCACTCGGGACTTGTACTCTGCAATCAAGCATGGTCTTGATTGGCTAGTCAGACTCCAGGTCAGAGATGCTGGTGTTAAGCTTTTTCATATGTGTACTGTATACATACTCCTCTTGATTCTTACTATTTATATGTATTTGTAGTTTGTTCTTTCCTTCTTTGTAGGAGTAGTATTCCTTGTACAAAAGAAAAGGGAAGTGAAGAGAAGAGATTGAAGTAAGTTCTTTCTTTACAGATTTCTCTTGATGTCACTCAGGGTATTAGGTTCCTACATTCCCAAGGTCTTGTGCACAGAGACATAAAACTAAAGAATGTATTGGTAAGTATTCCCATCTCTGTTGTTGCAAGTAAGTAGATCAGAGTGCAATTATCTCATTACACCATGTGATTGTTTCCCCACAAACTTGAAAAAAAAATTTGCTTGCAGTTGGACAGGAGCAATCGAGCTAAGCTGACCGATCTTGGTTTCTGCAAGCCAGAGGCCATGATGTCAGGCAGTATTGTTGGTACTCCCATCCACATGGCCCCAGAGCTTTTCACTGGCCACTATGACAATAGTGTTGATGTCTATGCCTTTGGCATACTCTACTGGTATATCTGTGCTGGCCACGTGAGGTTACCTCTTATCTTTGAGCAATGTCAGTCAAAGGACCAGCTTTGGACTTGTGTTAAGAAAGGTAAATGGATTTTTTTTAGTATTTCCTTGGATTCATAATAGAGTAGATTTTTGTATAGTCTGTGATGAGCATATGATAGTACATTATCATTGTTGTACACAGAAAGTATTGATTAAAAACATTTAAATAGCTTTCACCTACTTCAGATGCTTCCAGAAAAACCATACACTATTTTGTTTCAGGTGCTCGGCCAGAAAGACTAGCACAGTTTGACAATGAATGCTGGGAGCTAATGCAGGAATGCTGGGCTGGGGACCCTGCCAAAAGACCACTGCTTGGTGATGTGGAGCCCCGGTTAATGCGTATAATGGAGTGTTATGCAAAGAAACAGCTGGAATACAAAGAACACTGGCATGACGATCAACACAATGAGGACGATAGTAAAGTTGACTCAGCCATAGATGCTGTGACGACTGAGCAGTGTGGCTTCATAGGTTAGTGTAGTCCAAACTCACCCATTGTGAGGGTGATCTGAAAAGGGTCTCAAGTGTATATGGAAAGATTGCAGGAATTTGTAAAAATCGTCTTTTATTCTCTGTATTCCATGTGATTGTAAAGCATGCGTGCCTTTAAATTATGATAGTGGTAGTGTGAAGATATTTAAACAGGATCATTTACTTAGATGCCCAAAAGTTATTAGGAAAGATGATAGAAAAAGGAAGTGCCAGAATGTTGAACTTTTTTACTAATCAAGTAACTATTCTACAGCATGGGAAGATGAAACACTATTGGACTGTATGGGGATGTACACCCTCAGTAGTACGCTGTGGCGGTGAGTAGTGTATTGGGTGTAGTGACAGATAAACTAGTGCTTCAGACAAGGCTTTGGATGGTGTGTTGATCAGCAGCTTTGGTAATAAGAAGGTCGAGAGGAAAGTCAGAATATGTGAAACTATCATTGTTAGTAATATTCCTTTTTGAAATTGGAAATGGAGCTTCCACCATATTTAACTAAACATGTCCTAAAAAAATATATATATTTAGTGGTATCTCCTGTACTTATTTGTAGTTATTGCAGAAACTGCATTACAGGGTGTCTGCATCCTGTATCTCAGTAAACTTTTAAAGCCGTGGGTGCCTTTCGTAAAAATTATTGCCAGAAGAGGTTTTTCCTAATAGAGTGTGTGCCTTTAGACTGAACTAAATGTATGAATCATGTCACAGTGTTGAAGTTCTGCAGAGCATAGATCATCATGAAAGATGAGACATTGATAAATGTGCTTATGTTTTTTTGTTGTTGTTTTTTTGCTTGCTTTTGGGGTCATCTGTGTATAATCATGTTGAAAATGTTTGTTTTTATAGATACTACATAGGCATTGAAAAGCATGTAATTTTAACAGCTAATAGCAAATGGACTTCTGAATGGGAATACATCATTAAACACCTTGCAGCTTGAATTTAAGAGTGAATTTAAAATGGCATAGCTATGAATACACAGTTCTACTCTTTTACTATGTATGAAGGGTATATTCATTTTGTAATTCCCCTCCCCCCTCCCTTTTTTAGGGCAATGATGATCCTGTCTGTGAATGCCTATCACCTTTGACTTGTCCACGGGAACAGGGAATTTGGATATACAATAACTATCTGTCCAAAGTATTATATTGTAAGTAGGAATTATACTAAAAACTGCATCCTTTCTCTATCATCTGTCATCTTTATAGTTGCTTTCTTCTTCTCTTCCTTCTCTTTTTTTCTAGAAAAAGCTTTACAGTGTCGAGAAAAGAGAAACATCAGCTTAGCAAAGGGGAAGTCACAACCAGAAATATGAATATGTGATCTTAAAAGCTAGAGAGAGAAAATATTAAAACTTTTTAAAAGTCATATCATAATTTGTGGTTTGTATGAAAGCACTGTCAGTGTTTAGTTCTTTTTCCATGCATATTTTTAAAGATTCTCTTCTTAGCCAATCTTTGGCAGGTGAGAATTCACAGATATGAATATTTAATGTGAATGAAAGTTAAAGGGAGGGAAGTGTTATTTATCAGAATTACGTATATTTTTGAAAGAGATGAACTCAAAACAAGAAATAAGCTTGTGTGTATATAGGGATGCATGAATATGTTTATATTTTTTTCCCCATTTTCTCATTTGTGTGTCTGATTTTACAGAACCATGTCAGAATCTACATGGTCGCATGGCTTAAGCTGTAAACCCATTTTTTACAAACTGTGTTACCAGTTCAACAATAACAGATCAAGTTTATGTGTAAAATGCTTTCATGCAGTTGGTTATTTTGGGTACTCTATGCCTAGAAGTGTATTTATGTTTCCATCCATTTGTCATTCCATCCATCGGTTCTGTTTAAGGATTATAATTTGTATTTAAGCATTTTACATACAAACTAGGTTTAAAATAAGAGAGAGAGAGAGAGAGAGAGAGAGAGAGAGAGAGAGAGAGAGAGTGTGTGTGTGTGTGTGTGTGTGTGTGTGTGTGTGTGTGTGTGTGTGTGTGTGTGTGTGTGTGTGTGTGTGTGTGTGTGTGTGTGTGTGTGTGTGTGTGTGAGTGAGTGTGTGTGAGTAAGGAGATAGTAAGAGGAGGAGGAGGAGGAGGAGAGAATTCATATATGTTTTTGTCTGTTTTGTGTAATCTATTTTGATCTTAAGATTTACACTATGAAAAAAAAATAGGATATTGATATAGGAAAATTTGAAATATATTTATAAGATTAAGTTATGAGTTGTTCATTCATGGTATAAAAGAAAATCAGAAAGTCTCACTAACTAAATATTTGGTGAGTTTTTGTACTAATGTAGTAAGACTCTAGTGCCAGATTGCATTTAGAATTCAGATGAGATACATTTACTTTTTTACTTGAATGTTGAATAAATACTGTATTATAGATAATGAAAAAGTTATGACATAACACTAGTGATTTTGCTTTACATAGGAGTAGTTTTGAATGTGTATCTTTTTCTTGTCGAAGAACAAGGTCTTGAGTTTCTTCATTCCGTGCTTTTTGCCACTGAAATAGATTTCCATGTTCAGCATCAGAAGATCTCAGTTAAGATAATATTTACATTGTACAAATGATTATGAGAGAAAAAGAAAATTTGGTTGGAGAGGATATAGTCCCTGATAGAATTACATGTTGAAAGCTTCCAAGCTGGGAGAGAAAAAAAAACGGTATTTATTGAGAAAGACGAGGACCAATTTGAAGATGAAATGTTTACATCTTCAGTGAGTAACAAGGTATGAGGAAGTAAGTTTCATGTCTTATGTCTGGAGTGTTCATTATCTTGTTTTACCTTTTAATGGAGTATTTATTATTCTTTTTTTTTTCTCAGAGTTATATGAAGATTTGGATTTATTATTGTTGACAAGAAATATGTTCTCTGACTGTCAGTCTGTGTTGTTAAAAGAAAAAAAAGAAAAAATCTTGAATCACTCATCCTGGATGGTATCTAATCATGCCATGGGAAACCAGGCCCAGATACCAGGTGACAAATGCCCATGCCATGAGCAATCAAGCCTGCTCTAAGATTTGCACTAAACAATTTTTTGATTGTTTAGCTCTGACTGTGGTCAGTGAGGAGATACAGCTCTCATATTTAGGCTTTAAGTTTCTTTTTTGCCACCTGTCCTCAAGAGTTATGTATGTTGCAGCATAAGTGTAAATGAATGTTTCTAGTGCAACTGCTGATTGCTCATTGGTGGCTTAAGCTGGATATAAATAATTTGAAATGATAGCTTTAGATATAAAGATCATGAAATTCAGTAGGTAAAGCAACCTTTTCAATGGAAAGGATATTTTATTTAACAAATAACAATATGATTATTTTGAAAGAAATTTTACCCTTGCTTTTATTAAGAGTGACTTTGCTTGATATGAGGTAATGAAAAAAATAATGGAAAAGGATAAAAAAGAAAAATGTTTTGGAAATGTACTTTTGGAAAATAGAAAAAGGGAGGAAAGAATAAATATGTTGAATATCTGGAAACTCTTCCCTGTCCAGGAGCATCAACTAGCTTCTGAGGGAAAATAATGTGTATGTATATGTGTATATATAATTTAGTTGATCATGAGCATTGCTTCATATTTATTTCATACTACATAACAGGTGTTTGTATTGTGCAATTAAACTTCAGCTTGAACTGAACTACATGTGTAGGAAGAGTTCAGCAATACAATATAGTGAAGAGGAGAAAAAAAGAGAGTTAAATATTCCTTATTAACTCATTGGTGCCATGTGTATGCATCTACCCACAATAATTTGTTTTGTCAATTCTCGTTTCACATGGATGGTTTTACTAATGCTGAGTCATCAAGGAGTTATTTACTAGGCTTACCTGATCTCTCGTGTTTGCCCCATTCCTTGGAAGAAAAGTATTTAGTTCTAATTCTTCTTATTGTTATTGACATTATTTTTATTAAAATGCTATTAACAATGCAAATAATGAAAAAAGGTATTATGTTTTAAAAATCAGGGAATCATTAAACAAGTAAAATCAGGTAGGCTTTGTAATTAGTTTGTACTATTATGAAGCCATCTGTGTGTATAGAAAACAGAATAAAATTGCAATGTACACATACCCTCCTGGTGTCAGCAGGTTAAATGATAAGCTTTTAATGAATAAATAGGGTGGAATTTTGTACTCTTGAGCAATCCAATATGAGTATGGAACAATATTTCTAAATCATTTATTTTTGTATGAGTTGGATTCTGCCAAGTGTAATTTTGTTTGGTCATAATAATGGTATTTGTAGTAACTGAGTTCTGTGTCCTATGGAAGAAAACTTACTCTTGAACAGTTTAGTATTCAAAACTTTTTTAAAAGCCTTTGTATTTTTGACAGTGTTCATCTTCTGATGACTATTTCAGTGTTTTTTTTAAGTACTGCAAGAGAAGGTATAGTTTCTGATTGATTTTGTCACAAATCTTTGAGGTTTTCCTCATTAGTCAGATGTAAAAGGAATGTTGTTTGAGATAGTGGCAGACATGGAGTGTAATGTCATTCTGCATATTGCAAGGCAAAGTAAGCATAACTGAGTTATGATGAATGTCATTTGTAAAGTTCATTAAGAGCATTGCATATGCTGCCCTGTTGTGCTGTATTTGAAATGTTAAGAGTGGTATGAAAGTTTTTGGGAAAAAAATAAATAAAATTGTTAGGAATGGTTGGGCTATATGTGTATTTTTCTTTTGGATTATATGTGTGTATATAGAAGATTTTTGCTGTAATAAATGCCCTTAATATTTATGTATGTGTGTGTGTGTAAGTGTGTATGTGCATCTATGTATATGTATATGTATATATACATGTATATGTATATATATGAACTATAATCATGTTGACAAATGTAGAAAAGGTATGAATGAGGATGAATTTATTTATTCTCATTCATAGCTTTTCTACACACACACACACACACACACACACACACACACACACACACACACACACACACACACACACACACACACACACACACACACACACACACACACACACACATACACACACACACATACACACACACACATACACACACACACATACACACACACATACACACACACATACACACACACACACACACACACACACACACATACACACACACACACATACACACACACACATACACACACACACACATACATACACACACATACATACACACACACACACACACACACACACACACACACACACACACACACACACACACACACACACACACACACACACACACATACCCACACACACATACCCACACACACATACCCACACACACATACCCACACACACACACACACACACACACACACACACACACACACACACACACACACACACACACACACACACACACACACACACACACACACATACCCACACACACATACCCACACACACACACTCAAACACACACTCATACACACACTCATACACACACTCACACACACACTCACACACACACACACACACACACACACACACACACACACACACACACACACACACACACACACACACACACACACACACACTGTGTGTGTGTGTGTGTACATGAGTATATATGTATATGTATGTTTATATATGTGTATGTGTGTGTGTATGTATGTATGTATGTATGTAAGTGTATATATATATAAATATATATATATATATATATATATATATATATATATATATATATATATATATATATATATATATATATATATATATATGCATGCACGCATGTGTGTGTGTTTGTGTGCAGACTCAGTATTATTTATTGTATAAATTAGGGTTTTCCCCTTTGCCTTATGAGTATGGAGTCATTCCATGATATACCTTATCATGATTTACCTATAAGTCCAAGAACACCTCCAAAGATTGTCTTCCTTGGTATTTAAGCTTTCGTTATGCTGCTTGTCCAAAGATTTTTGTTTTTATGGGTTATCAAATAGCTAGTATGAGCTTGGTATATTGATGATGTGTTTCCCATGTTGCAGTGTTGCAGTCAGTGCTTGTTGTAATATAGTTAATTGTGGAGATGTCTTTTTTCTTTCTTTCTTTCTTTTTCTCTATTTTCTTTCTTTCTTTTGTGCTCTATTCTATGATAGTAGCAATACTTTTAAACTGCTCATTGTATACAGCTTTCTAAAAAATATATATATATATGATAATGTTTAATAGGCATTTTTTTTATTTCATAAGTAACAAATGCCTTGATCAGTCACTTTTCTCGACTGTAACATATCTGTGATAGAACTAAATAATATTGATACTAGTATTAACAATAAGGGTAAATGTAAGTTGTTGATTTTTTTTTCTTCTTTCTTTCTTTTTCTGTTTTTCTTTTTTCTTTTCCTTTTTTTCTTTTTTTTCTTTCTTTCTTTCTTTTCTTTTTTTTTTTTCTTTTAACCATTTATCAGGGTATTTGATATTCATACATTTTTTTCTTTGTTTCTTTCTTTTTAATAAAAATGCTTGACAAAAACAGTGTATTGGCTCCTATAACTGTGCCTGTGTTTTTTTACTTATTGTTTTTATAATAAATTTAGGATGTGTCTGAGCAACAAGTCAGATTTAACTTTTACTTTGTTATTTAGAAATACAGTAAGGGAAAAAATGTCATGTACTGATAAAATGAGTATCACTGATATATTGGATATTAAGCAGGTTCTTTCTTTTATAAAATTCACAATAGCAGGGAATGATATATCAACATTTATTTTTGCAGCTTTTTTTTTTTTTTTTTAGCAACTTACAGTATATTGAATGTTACAGCACATAGTTTAGTTGCTTACATGAAATAATATTTTTGGTTTGCTGAAGTGATACACTGTTTTCATATTTTTACTTTCTAATAGAATACGTTTGAATATGAAATCATACAGATATATTTGCTTTGATCTTGCTAAGTATTGCTGTGCTTTGAAGATGTGGTAAAAAAAAAAAAGGACAACTTAGCATCTCATATTCACTGTGTTGTGTTTTGTTTGCATTTTAAAAGGAAGTACTGGAGGATCTGTTGTTTTTTTTTATTGATAGCAAGAAAAATAACTTTTTTTCTTTTTCTGTTATATTGTCATTATTACTAATTATTATTTTTATTAGTGTATTATCAGTTATTGTTATTATTTATTATTATTATTATTATTATTATTATTATTATTATTATTGTTAGCAGCCCTCAAGAGCTTGTGTCGACAATATAATTTGTTATAGAATTTGTAAATTTTTGGTGGTAAGATTTTAGCTTGTGTAATAATCTTTTAAGAAAATTAAAGATACTGATATGAATTTCTCCCTTTGTTTCTAACACCTTTTTTTTTATGTCAAAGTTTCTTTAAAATCTTCCCTTTTGAATGGACTTGAATATGGATGATGTGTAGTAGTCTGAAGGAAGTTGATATAATATATTTTAAAATGTGGGAAACTAAAGATCAAATTGCATTCTTCTTTTAGTTACATAAAACTTGTAAACCCTCAGAAATTAGTTCATCACCTATACTTTACATAATGTACACACACTACACATGCATGCAGCCCATTTGCACTATGTCTGTCCTTTCTACAAGGCTGGCAGGAGAAAAAACAATAAAAATTATGCTAAACGCCTTTTTACTATGTTAGCCTCACCATGGAATAAAGTATATGATGTAGCTTATAGAGCATGTAAAATTATACAAGAGAATGTCATACTTAAGTAATCTTTAACATTAACCTGCCATATCTAGTCTGGATGAAGGTACCACATGGTGCAGACCAAACTATAATAAAAATAAGATAACTTTAACACTACATACTTAGCAGCTGCTCTATTTTGCATTGCTGTATAAACTTCAACTTCAGTAATTTGAGCCAGTTTTAGAAAAAAAAAAAAAAAATCTGGTTTCCACATTTAATGAAATAAGTGAACAAATATTGATATTAACTCATTGCCACCGGGGAAAATGAACAAAAAATGGGGCAAATGCTGTGCCTATTTTCTATATTTTTTTTGTTAAATGTTTGCCCATAGATGGCTCTTAGTGCCTGATTTGAAATGGTGGGAAAAACGTATTTTCCACTAGTACCATGAATATCGATGCTGTTATTCTTATTATAAACATTATAATTATTATAATGTTTTTTAACATTAGTAACAGCAAAATAAGATAACGTAAAATATTTCGTAAATCAAAGAAAAGGGTGAATGGGCGAGACAGGGGTACTCGTAACTGGCTCATTAGTGATTTAGTACAAGTATAGCCATCTGTGTGTGAAAACAATCAAACAAGTGATCTCACAGTGGGCATGGCATGGCATGCCCGTTGGCAATGGGTTAACCTGAAGCCACCGGGGATGACATGTACATGCATGCCATGCCCACTGTGTTTAATTTATAAAATGTTTTACACATAGATGTTTCCACAAGTACTATGTGTCCAATGAGCCAATTACAAGTACTACCTGTCTCACCTGTTATCCCTTTTCCTTCCCCCCCAATCTCTTGCCCATTGTTGTCCTGGGGGGCTTAGGAGATGAGGAATGAGGCCCAGTGTTAGAGATCACCCCTGCCTTGGTCTTCAACTCTTGCCTCAACTGATTTTGCAAGGTCTTTTCTTCTCCTTTCCTTCATCCCCTTGTTCTGTCCACTTATCCTAATCATTAACTCATTTTTGCTATTTTTGCCACAATACATTATTATAATGCTCCCTACTCCCTTAACTCCTTCCTCTTCTAACAACCTTTACCTTATACTATACCCCATCATATATTCTCACATTCTATATTCGTGACTCAAGCATCCGAGAGGTCATCACTAGCGCGCACCGCCCTTGCCTCCTTCGTCCTCCTCGTCTTTGAATTCCCAATCCTCAAATCCGCATTCCTCGTACTCGACCGGACATGCCTGGAGTTTGAGTACGAGCTTTAAAGTAGTTGAAGCCTCTATGCCTTCGTCCTTGAGCGAAAGGTAGTCCTTAAGAACTCGCCCTTGGTACACCAGTTGCTGTTGCCAGGGGGGAACGCCCCAGACCTCGGAAATGATTGTACATACACGCTTCACCTAGATTTTCATGCAGTTGCCTATTAGCGTTTATATTGTGATGGAAATCACAATGGAAAAAAAAAAAAAAAAAAACATCAGCTCCCCACTCTCTACCCTTTTCACTATCATACTACCCTCTAGTACTGATCAAACTGTAACTTTACCTTAGACCATTAATTCATTCCTGACCCTTTTTGCTACTATGCTTTACCATAGCATTATATGACCTTTGATGTCATACAGGACCTCCTTGCCTGGGGTCTTTGCCCCTAAACCTTGTGTTATCACTATACTCTGAATACATTGCTAATGACCTTAGGTATTGAGGCAGCAGAAATTTTTCATTAAGTATTTTCTGGTATGTAATATTGCTGTTAGCAATGTCAATAATACTATAATAATTATAATGTCTATAAGAAAGATAACACTATCAATATGACAACATTATTTAAGAAAAAAAAAATCCCACAAAGTCAAGGAAAGGTGAAATCAGGTGAGGTCACAAGCTCTACTAATTGACTCCTTTGTGGCTCATCACTTGCAGAGCCATCTATATGAGACATTTTACAATACTACAGTGGACACAACATTTTCACAGAGGCGGCATTTTAAAGGGTCATTACCTATAAGATTCTAGTTTCAACCAATTTCAACTTACTGAAAAGAAATGTGATAATTTGGATCATACTGGGATACTTGTGAACCAGTATTAAAAACCATACATTTCCTTTCTAGATTTTGCTAACCTTCTCCAAAACCTGAAACAACACATTCTAGGAGCTTGTGACATGCCCAAGGAGCTTTCACTGTCAAAAGAGAAAACAAGACATTAAACAAAAACAATACTTGCTTACATGACTCTTGTATAATATCTAAATGGTAATTGTAAAATCTAACGGTAATTACTAATCTCTGTTTTTGTATTTTTTCTCTTCCACCTAAGATCTCATCACTCTCATTCTTGGACAATACAATTAAGGGTAGTATCTTCTCCTTTTTCTCATCTTTCAAGCAACCTTCCCTTTCTGCTGCATTTTTCTTTGATTTCTCTCAGTCTCCTCATCACTCATGTTGGTAAGTAAGCCTACTTACTCTTTCTAATCTTTGATCACTTCTTCCATCATCATCTTATGGTCCTTCCTCCATGTTTTCTTCCTTATTTCCTCCACTATTTTGAACTAGATAAATTCATCACCTATGACGACCCTTTTTCCTAGATTTTTTTTACTTTCAACACTACTTTCCAGACTTACCCTCTACACTTCTTACAGGTTTACCAAGAACTGCAGTTGCAGGGATGTTTCCAAATGCAGGACTTGGTGCAGCAGGAGTTGTATAGGAGAGGATGTTGATGGGGCTGTAAGCCCAGGAGACTGATATGCTGGTCTATTCTTGTTGGGAGTGTCTGGCTTTTGGGATGATAATGGTGCTGGCCTTCTCGTATCCTATCTGATCTATCTTGAAAAGGGTAGGGCTTAATGCTGATGCTGCCCTTATTTTATAAAGAAGTTCCATGAAGACACTTCTGTTTATATACCAGTTTCTTCTTTGTAAGATTTAAAGGTGGTCCATGTTTAACAAATTGTTGGGATACCTACAAACCGAAACTTAACTCTATTAAAAAAAAAAAAATGAAACAAGGTAAAAAGTTTGACTTTTCAGAGTAGAGAAAAAGATCTCTATAAGCTCAAATTTGCAAAGAAATGCTTTGACTTGATTATGCATCACAACCAAGTTTGTCAAAAATGATGCAGACTTAACCTGAAGTTTATTTTGCTTAGATTTTCCTCACTTGAATTCTGAATTTGTATTCATAATCAAACAAAAATTAATTAATACTACTAACAGTGATATTCAGAGTTGCATAATTTTTATTGCTATCACTACCAACAAACAAGTAAAGAGGTTGTCCAAATCAGACCGGTCTACTTGACAGTCCACACATTTTCTAATAACTGCATAAAGATGCTTCCTCTCTTGTGTAGACTACCCTCTTTTATTTAGCCAAGCATGCCTATAGCCATCATTAAAAAATAACATATCATGACAGAAATGACTACAGGAGTCACGAGTCCAGTAGAAAGTTCCACTACACAGCAGACTGCTTGGGGTAAATAGGCTAGCCAGTTGCCAGAAGTCACCAGAACGAGTGTATAAGAAATTTTTGGCACTATCATTGTAAAGTTAAGAGTAAATTCTTAGAAATATACTTGAAATCTAAGCAAACAAATCTGATAAAAAAAATTCCATGAAATTACTTCCATGAAAGAAAAATGACACTAAAGTATCATCATACG